ATGTGGTGATCCGTACGTTTGCTTGTATTGCTCACAACTGCTGATATTTGCTGAATAGAACGAACGAACCGAATTGCATTCGTCGAATATTGTTGCAGTTCATTTTTTTTTTGTTGGAAATTTTCGATGCATTGAATGAGGAGGGAGGGTATTCTCTCTGATTGCTTTGAAAGGTTTATTACCAATTGAATCTGTTGAAGATATCACTGGAGTGATTGATTGACTGATAAGTTCAACTGCGTCCGAATGGCTCCAAATAACTCATTAATTTGTCACGAATTCTGAATATTTTCTCGCAATTTCTAGTTTTCTCGTCAAGTTTCATGCTCGATATTGTTCCATGCGGAAGTTTGTTTTACAAGTTGATAAAGACTGTAAACTTTTACTAAATGAAATGTGATGATGTACGAGTAGTAGTTTAATAATGCGTATAATCTGTGCGATTACTCTTCAACGGTGGCAGTTTGAGAATTATAGTTGTTAATACGCTGCTTTTAAGGTGTTACACACAACATCATCATTGATCATACGAATTCTTCGGTTTCTTCACTGCTGACACAGTTGGCAGTCAGCGATTTGCTGAGACAAGTTACTACTACTAATACTGATCTTAATAATAACCGTATACGCTCACAAGCATTGATCAACGCACAGTCTCATCAACCATCACCCAAAGTACCACCACTACGTTCATATAATAGGTCGTTGAAAAAGTCTAAAATGGGTGGTTCCACAATGAAAACTGCAAAAGTTTGGCGTTATTTCGATCAGTTACCGACTGAAGAACAGGCTGCCGAATGCAAGATATGCTGCAAGAAGATCAAAGCAACCAACAGCAGGTTTCCTATTTCATCTTACAACAATTTTCTTGACGTACAGTCAGTCTGATGTCGAGTCCTCACTAATTCATACTCGATAATGCGTGTGAAGCACAGAAACATTACGGCGCGACAATCGCGCTTAGCGGAATTCTTCATTACTTTTTCAAGTCAGTTTGCAGAGCGATGCAATCGCAAGATTTTTGTCATTTGTAATTGCACAGAATTTCAGTACTACCGGTATGATACGTCATTTGAGAAGTTGCCACGTTAACGAATACCAACTTCTTCAAGAAGCACGACAAAACGGCCTTATCCTCAAACAAGGTTTTTTGATTAATGCTTATCTATTAGCCAACATCCTCTAGACGAGTGACTGTGGAGGGGACTTGGCGAATTGCTAGCCACAACGGATTCTTCTCACGATTGTTGAATTGTCACAAC